AGAGGTTGTGGAGAGACTGGAACACTTATACACTGTTGGTGGGAATGTAAAATGATACAACCACTTTGGAAATCGATTTGGCGCTTCCTTAAAAAGTTTGAAATAGAAGTACTACATGATCTAGCAATCTCACTCCTTGGAATATATCCTAGAGAAATAAGAGTCGTCACACGAATAGATATATGTACGCCCATGTTCATTGTAGCACTGTTCGTGATAGCAAAAAGATGCAAACAACCCAGGTGCCCAACAACAGATGAATGGATAAAAAAATTATGGTATATTCACACAGTGGAATATCACGCAACGATAAAGAACAACGATGAATCCGTGAAACATCTTATAACATGGACGAATCTGGAGGGCATTATGCTGAGTGAATTTAGTCAGTCACAGAAGGGCAAATATTGTATAAGACCACTATTATAAGAACTCAAGAAAAGGTTTAAACACAGAAGAAAACATTCTTTGATGATTACAAGGGTGGGGAGGGAGGGTGAGAGTTATTCACTAACTAGATAGTAGACAAGAATTATCTTAGGTGAAGGGAAGGACAGAACACAGTACAGGGGAAGTCAGCACAACTGGACTAAACCAAAGCTAAGAAGTTTCCTGAATACAATCAAACACTTTGAGAGACAGAGTAGCAGGGGAAGGAGTCTGGGGACCATGCTTTCAGGGGACATCTAGGTCAACTGGCATAACAAAGCTTATTAAGAAAATGCTCTGCATCCTACTTTGGTGAATGCCACCTGGGGTCTTACAAGCTTGCAAGCGGCCATCTAAGATGCATCAATTTGTCCCAACCACTTGGAGTAAAGGCGAATGAAGAACACCAAAGACACAAGGAAAGTAGTAGCCCAAGAGACAGAAAGGGCCATATAAACCAGAGACTTCATCAGCCTGAGACCAGAAGAACTAGATAGTGCCCAGCTACCACCAATGACCACCCTGACTGGGAACACAACAGAGAGTCCCTCATGGAGCAGGAGAAAGGTGGGGTGCAGAACTCAAATTCTAGTAAGAAGACCAGACTTAATGGTCTGACTGAGACTGGAGGAACCCCGGAAAGCATGGCCCCTGGATTCTCTATCAGCCCAGAACTAAAACAATTCCCGAGGCCAACTCTTCAGACAGGGATTAGACTGGACTGTGGGACATAAAGTGATACTCATGAGGAGTGTGCCTTTTAGCTCAGGTAGATACAAGAGACCAAAGGGGCAGCTTCTGTCCAGAGGTGACATGGGAAGGCAGAGAAGGTTAGGAGCTGGTTGAACGGACATGGGGAATCAGAGGTGGAAAGGAGAAGTGTGTTGTCGCAGTATGGGGAGAGCAATCAGGGTTATATAACAATGTGTGTATAAATTTTTGTATGGGAGACTAACTTGAAATGTAAACTTCATTTAAACTACAATAAAGAAAAAAGAAAATGTTCTGCATCCCACTTTGGTGAGTGGCGTCTGGGGTCTGAAAAGGTAGCGAGAGGCCATCTAAGATGCATCAATTGGTCCCAATCACCTGGGGTAAAGGAGAATGAAGAACACCAAAGACACAAGGAAAGTAGTAGCCCAAGAGACAGAAAGGGTCACATAAACCAGAGACTGCATCATCTTGAGACCAGAAGAACTAGATGGTGCCCAGCTACCACCAATGACCACCTTGACAGGGAACACAACATGGAGAAGGAGAAAGGTGGGGTGTAGAACTCAAATTCTAGTAAAAAGACCAGACTTAATTGTCTGACTGAGACTGGAGGAACCCTGGAAAGCATGGCTCCCGGACTCTCTGTCAATTCAGAACTAAGACAATTCCCAAGGCCAACTCTTCAGACAAAGATTGGACTAGACTGTGGGACATAAAATGATACCTGGCTTCTTAGCTCAAGTTGATACATGAGACTAAATGGGTAGATTCTGTCTGGAGGTGAGATGAGAAGACAGAGAGGGTTAGAAGCTGGTTGAATGGACATGGGAAATCAGGAATGGAAAGGAGGAGTGTGCTGTCACAGTATAGGGAGAGCAATTAGGGTCCCATAACAATGTATGTATAAATTTTTGTATGAAAAACTAACTTAAAATGTAAACTTTCACTTAAACTACAACAATAAACAAATAATAATAAAAAAAGTCTAAAAAAAAGAGTAGCATAAAGAAGAGAAGTCAAGAAGAGATAGAACATTCATTGTATCTGCCAAGGCAATTAACAGACAGAAAAGGGCCACTATCATCCTAGATCCCAGAGGGCAGAAATCCTACCTGGATAAGCTTTATATCTTCATTGACTAAGATTGTCCCCAACAGCCTGTCACATGAAACATGTTTGATAAATATTTGATGAGTGAACAAAGGAATGAAGAGCAAAAGAACAAACCAACCTTATAACCGACAATAACTTTACAACTGTGTAGTCAGTATTGCTGTGCAAAAGAAACTGAAACATGACCTTCTAGGAAGACAGCAAATAGTGTGGGCTCTGTAACCATGACCAAATTACTTAGCCTTTCTGTGTCTCATTTGGTGATCTTTAAAGCAGGGATAATAATAATACTTACCTCATAGAGTTTTGAAAATTACATAAATACATGTAAAATATTCATAACAATCCAAACCCATTGCCGTCAAGTCGATTCCAACTCCTAGCTACCCTATAGGACAGAGCAGAACTGTTCCATAGGGTTTCCAAGGAGCAGCTGGTGGATTCAAACTGCCGACCTTTTGGTTGGCACAATGTTTGCCACTTAGTAAGCAATCAATCAACAAACCTCAACTAATAGTGCTATCATCACTGCAACTACATAGTTTTTAATTTAAAGTAGCAATTTACTAACTTTTATCTTACAGAGATTAACTCTTTGCTCAAGTTAAAGATTTAACTTAAACGCAAGCAAATAAAACAGATAAAAGCAATGATGTAGAGGATAAGATGTGGATTAAAAAACCCAGAGCCTACCACTATCCTAGCCCCTTGGAGGCACCACTGACTGCTTGGAAGTCTGCAGAGCACAATATGAAAATCACTGATTTAAAGAATAGATATTAGACATCACATGTCCTTCCTTACCTAATGGGAAACCAAAAATACCAGACTGTGCAATCATGGATGGTTCTAGGGTGCCTTCTTGGTTAGCAATAGTGATGTTTCGTAGCCTAAGGCTATCGTAGAGGCCCTGAAGTTTTTGATACTGGCGATTGCGCTCCATAAGTTTCTCAGAGATGTCACTGAACTTTTTCTTGTATTCTTCTAGCACTTTCTTCATAGAGGTGACCTCCCCTTTCATAGAGGTCAATTCTACATCCTTGCTCTGTATTTGCTGAGTATAGATCTTCTCCATCTGCTTCAGATGACCCTCAGCCTTGCTGAAATTGTACTCTTGATAGAGACGTTCCTGATGTACCTATTCCAAGACAGAAAAGATTTTTAAGGTAATGATTATAAAGTTATATACCGTAAAACTTTATATAATCACAAAAGAAAAAGATGCTTACATTGGGATGTTACTACCTTAACATTTAGAACCAGGTTAAGAAGCATTGAGGATATACAGTAAGATGATTACCATAGAAAATAACTGTATATAAGTAAAAAATAAGTATATAAGAAAAATTTCTGGAGCAATACTAACCACTATCCTTATTCCACCAAAAAAACAAGTGATTTCACTTGTCTTATTTTAACAAGTGACATGTATTCCAAAGGTTCTTAAGAAATATAATTCCACTTTTCAGAGAGTTTGAAAGCATTCCCCTTGAGAACGGGAACACACAAGGATGCCCTTTATCATCACGCTTATTCAACACTGTGCTGGAGGTCCTAGCCAGAGCAATTAGGCTAGAAAAAGAAATAAAGGGCATTCAAATTGGTAAGGAAGAAGTGAAAGTATCTCTATTTGCAGATGGTATGATCTTATACACAGAAAACCCCAAAGAATCCACAAGAAAACTACTGCAACTAATAGAAGATTTCAGCAAAGTATCAGGATACCAGATAAACACACAAAAATCAGTTGGATTCCTCTACACCAACAAAGAGAACTTCCAAGAGGAGATCACCAAATCAATACCATTTACAATAGCCCCCAAGGAGATAAAATACTCAGGAATAAATCTAACCAGAGATGTAAAAGATCTGTACAAGGAAAACTACAAGACACTACTGCAAGAAGCCAAAAGACACCTGCATAAGTGGAAAAACATACCTTGTTTATGGATAGGAAGACTCAACGTTGTGAAAATGTCAATTCTATCCAAAGCAATATACAGATACAATGCAATTCCGATCCAAATTCCAACAGCATTTTTTAATGATACGGAGAAATGAATCATCAACTTCATATGGAAAGGGAAGAGGCCTTGGATAAGTATAAAGCATTAGTCAAGAAGAACAAAATGGGAGACCTCACACTACCTGATTTTAGAACTTATTATACTGCCACGGTAGTCAAAACAGCCTGGTACTGCTACAACAAGAGAAACATAGACCAACGGAACAGAATTGAGAATCCAGAGATAAATTCATCCACCTATAAGGAGCTGATATTTAACAAAGGCCCAAAGTCTGTTAAATGGGGAAAAGACAGTCTCTTTAACAAATGGTGCTGGCATAACTGGATATCCATCTGCAAAAAAATGAAACAATACCCCTACCTCACACCATGCATAAAAACTAACTCAGAATGGAACAAAGACCTAAATATAAAAACTAAAACAATAAAGATCATGGAAGAAAAAATAGGGACAACGCAAAGAGCCCTAATACATGGCATGAACAGAATACAAAACATTATTAACAATGCACAAATACCAGAAGAGAAACTAGATAAGTGGGAGCTCCTAAAAATCAAACACTTATGCTTATCAAAAGACTTTAACAAAAGAGTAAAACGACGACCTACAGAATGGGAAAAAATTTTTGGCCACAACATATCCGATCAGTTTCTAATCTCTAAACTCTACAAGATACTGCAAAATCTCAACGACAAAAAGACAAATAACCCAATTAAAAATGGGCAAAGGATGTGAACAGGCACTTCACCAAAGAAGACATTCAGGCGGCTAACAGATACATGAAGAAATGCTCTTGATCATTAGCCATTAGAGAAATGCAAATCAAAACTACAATAAGATACCATCTCCTCCCAACAAGGCTAGCATTAATCCAAAAACACAAAATAATAAATACTGGAGAGGATGTGGAGAGACTGGAACACTTACATGTTGTTGGTGGGAATGTAAAATGGTACAACCACTTTGGAAATCAATTTGGTGCTTCCTTAAAAAGCTAGAAATAGAAGTATCATACGATTCAGCAATCCCACTCTTTGGAATATAACCTAGAGAAATAAGAGCCATCACACGGATAGATATATGCACACCCATGTTCACTGCAGCACTGTTCACGATAGCAAAAAGACGGAAACAAGCTAGGTGCCCATCAACAGACGAACGGATAAATTACGGTATACTCGCACAATGGAATACTACACAAAGATAAAGAACAATGATGAATCCATGAAACACCTTATAACATGGATGAATCTAGAAGGCATTATGATGAATGAATTTAGTCAGTCACAAAAGGACAAATATTGTATGAGACGACTATTATAAGAAGTCAAGAAAAGGTTTAAACACAGAAGAAAACATTCTTTGATGGTTACGAGGGTAGGGAGGGTGGGAGAGGGGTATTCACTAACTAGACAGTAGACAAGAATGATCTTAGGTGAGGGAAGGACAGAACACAGTACAGGGGAAGTCAGCACAACCGGACTAAACCAAAGCTGAGATGTTTACTGAATACCACCAAACACTTCAAGGGACAGAGTAAGCAGGGGTTGGGGTCTGGGAACCATGGTTTCAGGGGACATCTAAGTCAACTGGCATAACAAAGCTTATTAAGAAAATGTTCTGCATCTCACTTTGGTGAGTGGCATCTGGGGTCTGAAAAGGTAGCGAGCGGCCATCTAAGATGCATCAATTACTCCCAACCACCTGGAGCAAAGGAGAATGAAGAACACCAAAGACACAAGGAAAACATTAGCCCAAGAGACAGAAAGGGCCACGTAAACCAGAGACTTCATCAGCCTGAGACCAGAAGAACTAGATGGTACCTGGCTACCACCAATGACTGCCCTGGTGGGGAACACAACAGAGAGTCCCTGAGGGAGCAGGAGAAAAGTGGTGTGCAGAACTCAAATTCTAGTAAAAAGATCAGAATGAGACTGGACGGACCCTGGAAGGCATGGCCCCCGAACTCTCTGTTAGCCTAAATCTGGAACCATTCCCGAGGCCAACTCTTCAGACAAAGACTAGACTGGACTATGGGACATAGAATGATGCTCGTGATGAGTGTGCTTCTTGGCTCAGGTAGATACATGAGACTAAGTGGGCGGCTCCTGTCTGGAGGCGAGATGGGAGGGCAGAGAGGATCAGGACCTGGTTGAATGGGCACGGGAAATCTGGGGTGGAAAGGAGGAGTATGCCGTCACAGCATAGGGAGGGAGAGCAACTGGGGTCACATAACAATGCGTGTATAAATTTTTGTATGAGAGACTAGCTTGAATTGTACACTTTCACTTAAAGCACAACAATAAAAAAATAAAATAAAAAAACAAAGAAATATAATCCCATTTTTCAAGTAACCCATCATATGGAGAATAGACTCTAAGGTAGCCCCCAATTATCCCTGCCTCCTGGTACTTACACCCTGTGTAACCCTCTCCCCTTTAGTGTTGGTGGGACCTGTGACTAGAACACAGCAAAGGTGATGGGATGTCACTTTATGGTTGTGTTACATAAGACTGTAAAGATCTGTCTCACAAGAACACTATCCCTTGCTGGCTTTGAAAAAGCAGCAGCCACACTGGGAAGGCACACGTGGCAAGTAACTGAGAGTGGCTTCTGACTAACATAAATAAGAAACTGAGGCCCTCAGTCTGACAGTTCACTGGGAAGTGAATGCTGCCAACCACCACATGAGTTTGGAATTGGAACCTTCCCTAGTGGGGCTTCAAATGAGACTCTAGCCCCAACCAACACCTTGACTGCGGTCTTGTGGGACCTTGACCTAAGCAAAAGACTCAGCTAAGCTATGCCTGAACACCTGACCAACAGAAACTATGAAACAATAAATGTGTGCTGTTTTAAGCTATTAAAGTTCTTGTTTAAGGCGCTGTTTGCTACACAGCCATAAACCAAGCCAAACCCATTGCCATCAAGTCAACTCCAACCCATAGTGACCCCATGTGTTATAGAGTAGAACTGCTCCATAGGGTTTTCTTGGCTGTACTGTTAATGGAAGATTGCCAGGTCTTTCTTGTGCTAGACAGCTACTAAAAACAGAAATAAATTTGGCTTATCTTTGGGTTTATTGTCCTTTAAATATTCTGACAAGAAATCTGAGCACGCTACTTCTTTTTTTTTTTTTTTTAACCATTTTTAATTTGCCCATTCTACACAGTTTGATGCAACTCTACCAAGTCTGGGTTATCCGATCCTCCTGGCTGTTAATCTAAAGGTTGGCAGTTCGAACCCATCCATTGGAGACTCAGAAGAAAGGCCTGGTGATCTGCTTCCATAAAGATTACAGTAAAAAAAAAAACCCTACGGGGCAGTTATACTCTGTAACACATAGGGTTGCCATGAGTCAGAATCAACTTAATGAGTTGTTTTGTTTTGTTTTGGTATGCACTCCCATAGCACTTTGTTCTTTCCTTATGGTTGTAAACATTAAAAATGTATTATACACTCTGGTTTCTCTCCAGAACATATTAATCTTTGGTCTTTTACCAAAGATTTCTGGAGATGCAACGATTGTGAGTAAACAGCACAAAACAACAACAGCCAAGTTTTGGAAGCCTTGCATGGAGGCAGGGCTTATTTAAAAAAAAAAAATAAAGTATTACAAATGCCTGAGAGTTTTTTTGTTTTTTTTTTAAGCTTCATCTCCAACTGAACTGTAGCCTCCTTGAGGCTCATATGTCTTATTTATTGTTGTACACCCAATACCTAAGAAAGTTTATGAAATACAAATGTTTGCTGGTACTCAAAAAGTAAATGTTCAGTGACTACACGGGGAAAAAAATGAGTAAAGAAAGAAAAGTTCATTTCTAGCTACCTTTGCAACTCATTCACTAATTTCCACCATACCTGAAAAGAAGAAAACAACACCACATGTATGTGTTCAATCAATACTATCCCAAATAGGAATCCACTTTAAGATACAGCTTCTACTCATTCAGTCAGTAAAGATTTATTTAAACTTAAGACGGAGCCCTGGAGGCTCTATGGTTAAGTGCTTGGCTGCTAACCTAAACGTCAGGACTTCGAACCCATCAGCCATTCTGTGGGAGAAAAGACCTGGAGATCTGCTCCTGTAAAGATTACAGCCCAGGAAACCCTGTGGGACAGTTCTATACTCTACCCTATAGGGTTGCTGAAGTGGAATCGATTCGACAGCACACAACAACAAAGAACAATAACTATGGTGGTCACTGAGGACGCAGTGATGTACAAGAATCAAAACCTGACCTTAAAGAACTTTCTTAACATGAGATGAACAAGTATGCAGGTAATTACAATACAGTATAAATAAGTGTAAGATATAGGAACGTATAAGAGGAGCACCTTACCCAGAAAAATATAATAAAAATGTTACTTGATGGATGTTAAACACAACCATCAAAATGCATTATAATAAATATATATGCAAGATATAACAATATACTCAAGGACATGATTAAAGTTCTCCACAGGAAGATCTTTCTAAGAAGGCACCAAAGGCAGAAATCATAAAGAAGACTGATATATCTGAATACATAAACATTTTAAACTTCTGTATGTCAAAAAATCAATGAAGACTAATAAAAGTGAAAAATGAAGAAAATCTCTTGCAACATTTGAATTATTTATAGAGAAAATTCGTACAAATTAGTAGGAAAATAAATACAGCAACTGAAATAAGACTGAAACAGACAATTCATAAAAGAAGAAATACATGAAAATAAAAGAAAACATGTTCATCTTACAAGTCATCAAAGATGACAAATTTAAAAAACAATGAGATTCTATTTTACCTATATCTAACTGGTGTGCAGAAGGTATGAATACATAGAGAACCAAGCACTCTCATACTCTCATATGCTTTTTTGAGGGAATATTAACTGATATAGCCTCACTGGAAGACAATTAGAAAATACTGTAATTTAAGAAATCTTTAAAATGTGTTTATCCACTTTTAGGAATTTAATCTTAGCAAATAATTAAGGATGCAAATTTGACCATAAGAACATTCATCACAGCATTTTTTTATAACTTGGAAACAAATTATGATATAATGTAACCATGAAAATGATGATTACAGAATAGTTAAACTAAAAATTTTAATGTAATATTCATAATACATGTATCATACTAACTTTAACTAGCCATAAAAACAATGGGTGGTATTATCGTATTTTTGTACAGAAATATATATATTTATACATAGAAAAAGTCAAGTAATACACAAACAAAAATATTAACATGGTTATATCTAAGTGATGGAATTATGGTTGGTTTTTAAAATTTTCTTCCTTTTGGATTTTCAACAACAAACGTAAATTTTGTACAAAATAAAACAATTTATTAAAAAGAAAGTTTTTCATACATTAATAAAACAGTGAAGGAAAAACACTGGACACTCCCACATATGCCTCAAGTCATACTCTCCAGAGAAACTAACCTAAGCACTAACCTGATACGTCCAGAAAGCCAGTGCTCGGGAGCTAATGTCCAACACAATCTCTGGTCGCAGTCCTGCCAACACCATGGCTTTATATTCCTCTGATGGACTGAGTTCTGTGCGGACAATATCTAGCTTCCCAGAAAGGGTACTGTTGCAGGCAGGGCAGATAGCTGGTGAACGACTAAACTCACCGCTGCCATGCTGATCACAGAAGATGTGAGAGCAGGCGGTGACCCACGCATAACCAGAGAGTTTAAGGCGACACTTCCGATAATTACAAAGCAGCATGTCTTCACACAAAGACATAATGGAAGAATAAGGTCTCTAGATGCTGAAAAGAATCCTAACAGGGATAAATAAAAAGGTTGAATAGGTCAAACTGCAATGAAAATAAAAAAGCAAGTCCATGAACTCTTTAAAACGAAATATGCATGGTAAAGTTATTACATTTTATTATGTATTTGTATTTTATTACACTCAATATTGATTTCAGTCACTCAACAATATTGTGTTCCTTTTTTGTGCAAACCATTGCAAAGGTCATGAAAAAATTTTTTTTAAAACAGGTGGTTTCTAATTTAATCTACTACAGTCAAAAATATGTACACAGAAAAAAAAAGTTTAGGAACACTTGTTGATACAAACAAGTAAAAACTAAATCAGTGATTTTTGCCCTTCCTCAGTACCTAAACAAAAATCCGTATTTACTATCCACTCATGGTTTGCTAGATTGTTTTAGTACCACATCTCACATTTGGCAGATAAAAAAAATCTAGGCGCTGATTGCAGCCATTCTTTAGTGGAAGGTATTTTAAGCTACATTTTTAGGTTTCTTGTGTTGCCTTGTTGAAAAAGAGTAGCAGCCTGCTAATAGATGAAAACTAACCTAATTCATCCAAATAATTGGCCATTATGAAACCAGAAAATCTTCATAAAAGCGGGTGATCTTTTATCATCACAATTCACCTGTTAATATGAACATATTCAGTGCTATGCTTCTACTTAAAGCATTTGTAAAAATAAAGTATTTGTTAAGTTACTTTTCAATACAGTGGCTACTCCCATTAGTTATACTAACCCAAACAGGGCAGCAATATTCTGGACCTACCAAAACAAGTCATATACTTCATATACTGCATAAAATAATGACACACTAATTGTACACCAAATGTTCTCATTTATCAACCGGCAAACTCTATCAGTTGCCTCAGATACAGGGGTCAACAAGGACAACCTGATATCTTTATCCCAAGGGTCTTCTCTGGACGAGTCTCCACAGGTATGGGGCACCTGGCCGCCGGAGTTAGGAAGCTTATTTTACCTCCAGAGGGGTAACAGGCATAGGGGCCGCAGAAGAGCTGGGAACAGTTTTGAAGCTGAGTCCTTCCTCAGGCAGAACAAAATGTGCATCTAATCCCAAAATTTCCACAAAGTGGAGAAAGGAGTCAATTTCGTGGGCTGTCCAGGTTACTCAGGGGCAAGTTTTTGGACCCACAGAAACTGCACTCTGGGATTCTTAGCTTGCCTTACCACGCTCAACAGAATAAACAATAATTATAATAATACAAATAAAAATACTTAACCTGAGGCGCCAAGAAAAAGCGCGGGAAAACACCGTTGCCAACGCAACTCCACAACGAGTGAGACTTCCCAGCTCGCGCGCAGACGCCGCCCGAGAGCGCATGCGCGGAGTGGCCCCCGGACTCCGGCCGCTCAGGATCCCGGGACCCACCGGGCGGTGGCGCCAGAGCTGGAACTGCGCTGGGAGGGCCACGCCTCCAGATCACGCGCATTGTAGGCGCCGCAGGGCGGTGAATCCGGCTGCGTCTAATCCAGATCTCCTACTTCAGAGTCATGCAGATACTGTCATAGAGCGCCGTTAACCGCCCTTGAGTGGCAGAAGTGTAACACCCTCGCTATCACTGGTCTAATATTTGAAATAAAAGCCTCTTGCGGCGAGAGCAGGAAAGAGTTTTGGAATTCCCGACACAGGTTTCCTGAGTTTTTTCAGGAGAAATTCCTAGAAAGGATGTCATTGCTGGAATTAGACAGCTATCACCTCTATACTGAAATAGATTCTACCATTTCCTTTTTAATCCATCTTGGAACAGAAATCTTCGCAGCTTTTATACATTTCTCTAAGTGCATCTTAAGGAGCCCTGGGGGCCAATGGTTAACCACTCGGCTGCTAACGGAAAGGTCAGAGGTTCAAACCTACCAGAGGCTCCAAGACTTGGCGATCTGCTTCCCTAAAGATTATAGCCTAGGACACCTATGGGGCAGTTGTACTCTGTCATATAGGGTTGCCATGAGACTCAACCGCAAACAACAAAGATACATTTTACAAAATATAACTTTCCTTGACTGAGTCTGCATTATGAACATTGATTACAGCACAGTAGGGTCAGGTGGCACATCGTTTTTTCAAGGTTCACACTCCTAGAACTGCTGTACTATTTAAATGTTTGTACCTGTACTAATGCTGTTACCTGTCACATATGTGTCTTGTGCTTTCCTATAGCCATTTTCTACATAATCTACATGGGCCTATTAGAATTTAGATTAAAAAGCCAAGCAGAGGAGGGCTTGAGGGATCCTCAGGGGTTCATCAGTTTCCAATTTCCATCCCATTTGGCTAAAGGCCTTTAGGGAATAACCCGTGTATTTCCCAATATGTTTTACCAGGTTAAAAAAAAAAAAAGGTGTAGGGCGGGGGAGGGAGCTACAAAGTCTTAATATGCCTGTCCAGTAGCCTGGGACACTGCTAATTGACCCAAACTCCTTCTTAGTGGCATGTGTCCCATTCTCTCATGGCACGAACTCTTCATTGGATCTGTTCTAGGAGGCCCCTGGGGATAAAAACCTCTGAATTCAAAGGTGGGATTCAGGGACCTCGAGATCGACTAGATGACAATGGGTAGTGGGTCTTATCCACCAGAAAGCTTTTTCAAATAGTGCTTTTATTGTTAAGTATCAAGCCTGACAAAAATGTATAATGACCATCACTCAGCTTTAATAAACCTAAACCTTTCTTACATTTGTGTATTTTTTAACAAAACACATTATGGATATACAGTTGAAGCCTCCTGTGTATGCCTGAATCCCATTTTCCTCCTACTTCTCCAGATGTTAAGAATAAGCTAGATTTTATCATTCTCACATACTGTTTTAATCATATAGCACATATCACTGGGCTATCTTTTTGATCCACATTGCTTTCAAGATTTATTCAAGTTATGACACATACATCCCATTAATTCATTTTAACAGCCATATACCACAAATATACCATAATTTATCCATTCTTCTAATGGATTTCTAACAGACATCTATTTGGCTCCAGGTTTTTGCTATCAAAAATATTGCAATGACAAATATATAACATATAACAAAACGGGACTAATGAGGCACAGCAGTCCAGGAACAAGGACTAGAAGGCAGAAGGGGACAGGAAAGCTGGTTTTAGGGAACCCAAGGTTGAGTAAGGACAGTGTTGACATGTAGTGGGGTTCTTAACCATTGTCATAGGGCAACATGTGTCCTAACTGTTTAAAGAGAAACTATTTTGTTCTGTAAACCTTCATCTAAGTGAGAATAGCAGCACAACGTAATTGATGTCACTGAATTGCACGTGTAGAAATTTTTGAAATGGTGTATCTTTGGCTATGTATATTTTCACCAAAAAAAAAAAAAAAAAGGTTGAGAAGGGAGAATGTTGGCATGTCATGGAGTTGTTAACCAATGTCATAAAACAATGTCTACTGACTGTTTAATGAGAAACTATTTGTTCTGTAAACCTTCACCTAAAGTACAATAAAAATAAATAAATACTGCAATGAACCATCTGTACATGGCTCAAGTACACATGCAAGAATTTCTACAGAATTCCAAGAGGTACAATTGATAGGCTAGTATATAAGCACCTTCAAATTAATTAAATGTTGCAAAACCATTCTCAAAGCAATAATATAAATTTACACTGCTGCCAGCAAAGTGCATGAGAGGCCACTGCTGCACTCAGCAACATGTGGATGTGTCAGGTTTTTTGCTTTGTTTTGTTTGAATTTCTGCCCATTAGAAATGATATCTCAATGTTGTTAAGATTCAATTCCCTGATTACTAAAGAATTTAAGCATCTTTTCATGTGAATTGACTATTCACAGATCCTCATCTGTGAATTGCCTATTCATATCCTTTGCTCACTTCCTTGACTTACATGGAGTCCTCTGTCAAGTTACATGGCAGGTAAATACGAGCTTGAAATGTTAGTGTACCCAAATCTATCCTTTCCTTTATTATGTCTATTCCAAAGTCATATTCTATGTTTTTCTGCAGTTTTAAAGTTTTACTTTTCACATATAGATCTTTAAGCCATTCTTCCTAACATAAGGAGGCTAAGTAACAACAGGAGTTGTAAGGGGAAAGGTGACCACAACATTCAAGAAAGCAAAAATTCCAATAACCTCAATATTTGAATATGGTAGTTGTCTCATTTCCAGGTTATACTTAACATGCAAAGGTTATAAATTACACATCAAAATATTGGAAATGGTATACTTCATGTGCTTTTAGATTTAACAGTTACTGCTGCCTATATGACAAGGAGCCTATTGATACAATGGTTAAGCACTCAGCTGCTAATCAAAAGTTCAGTGTTTCGAACCCACCAACCACTCCATGGGAGAAAAGACCTGGAGATCTGCTCCCGTAAAGACTACAGCCTAGGAAAACCTAAGGGGCAGTTCTACTCTGTCCTATGGGGTTGCTAAGAGTCGGAATCTACTTGACAGCACACAAGGACATTACCTACATAAAGCAAAACTACTTAGAATAACAAAAGTATAGACATGAGAAAGTTTTCATGAGAATATTAATATTTTAACTCAGTTGTCTGCTGTTTTTACACAAACTATTTAGCTGTAAATAGATCAATATTATGAACTGTGTATTATCCATGAAGTGATTTCAAGGTCACTTGATTTCTTTTCTGAACTCTGACAGAACAATCTATGCTTACACATTACTTACATCATTTAACTACAGATTACTTTCCCCTTTCAAAAATGGCATTTTACCACGAAGTCTGATTTAAAGCTAATATACTCTTGTGTAGATACTGTAAGTACCTATCAGCTATGTTGTTGTTGTTGCTAGGTGCCTTAGAGTCGGTTCAGACTCACAGCGACCCTATGCGTAACAGAACAAAACACTGCTGGGTCCTGCGCCATCCTCACAATCGTTTATCAGATAGTAATTTTCCCTGCTATTACCTCTGAACCTTAGACTTTTAGCATCATCTATTCTAAAACCCATTTGATTCAAGTATTTGTTTTAAAAGAAGAATCTTATTCTAAATAATAAGTTTTATATTCTCGCTAACAAAAGTTACTATAGTTGCATATCATTTTTGTAATTCTGGTATAAGCATGAGTAAGTTTTAAATCTCATTCTGAAAACACAAAAATATACCAAAATTCCAGTATTTTGATGTGTATTTTGTACCCCTTGAGTGTTAATATACTTCTATGGATATAATTACAGCATAAAGGGCAGAAAATTCCCTGAAGTATAATTTAGCCAGAACAATTGAGACTATCCCACCATTAAACATGAAGCAGAAATAACCATGCCAGAATAGTATGTGCAATTTAAATCAAGATATCTATTAAGGCTATAAATCAAATGTTCATAATAAAAGATTTCCTGTTAAATACCGGTAAACTTTTATGTATCTGTTCCTCACCTACATAGGTTGTTTTTGGCGGTCATTCTTCATTGCCTCTTAGAAAGATTAAGCATCATAATCAGATATTAAGAGTTTTAAGTAGGCATGTGAGTACCCAGATTGAGTGTGTGTGTGTGTATGTGTGTGTGTGTGTATGTAACATTGAAGTTTAAGCCCCACTTATTCCATCTAAATGTCTTACTGAAACACCATTAAAATAGTTGCCATTTTCCAGAGATTAAAAAAAAAAAAAAAATCAATGAACAATTTCAATTCAATTCACTTCAATTATTATTTTAATATTTCTTCTGGTCAAGCATTAGGGATAAGAAAGGTATGCTGCTCATGGAGCTTACAATCTATGATATTAGAAAAAAATATTTACTCTTTCCTCTGCACCTCTTACATGTCTTCAAGTCGACTGATTCTACAGGACCATTTCAGGTGAGAAAGGTCAGCTTCCATCTTTAATATGAAGAATCATCTACCTTCATGCTGCAAAGAGAAAGCTATTTTTTAAAACTGCCCAGAAATGTGTGTGAACAACCACGTGGAGACAGGGATAGAGAACTGAGTTAAACCATTTAAACATGAATGACTTCAGAGTTATCATATTTCAGTAACTACCAGAATCAGTTTACTACAGCCTTTTCATCATAGCCCTAGGTCAAAGCTATTCAAATACTATCACCTTCAAAAGGTTCTATTAGCTATATTCCTGTGTTTTAAAATTAACTTTCTTTTTTTTTTTAAATCACAGGTACACTGACTTAATCTAGAATTACTACCTGCTTTGTAATTGTTTGACTCCGCAAAAATCAGAAGGCACTAACGGACAGCCAACCCATCCCGTGGTGCCCTGAGTGAAGACAAGCCAGGTTTGATATATGATGGACTAAAACCTCACTGCCTAAGGCTGCAAGCAGTGAGAGGAACAGCCATCAGAGTATATTTCCAACCACATTATTTTAAGAAACACTTAGTAAAAATAAAGGCATCTATGAACTGTTAATATGAATCATTACATCTAAATTTTTAAAGAGATCAGTCAAGAACTAGAAGAGACCATTAAGGATCAACTGGTCCAGCTATAAAAACATGAGGAATTAAATGACAAAAAAAAAAAGTTAGTGACAAAGCCAAGATAAAGCAACTAAGAAACTTTTATTGGTAGTATGTACACTATAGTCCTTATAATACGTTCCCTAATTCTAGAACAAAATTAGGCTTTGAATGTTAAGGGTGAAGGTAATGAGAGGTAGGCCAATGGCAGAAGACACACATAAGCAATATTGCTGTTAGCTGCCATCAAGTCGGCCCCTGACTCCTAGTGACGGCATTCACAAAGGAACAAACAGCATTATCCCCATGATCGGTTATAGATCAGACTGTTGTGATCCACAGGGTTTTCACTGGCTGATTTTCAGAAGTAGATCACTAGGCCTTTCTTCCCAGTCCATCTTACTCTGGAAGCTCCACTGAAAAGTGTTCAGCTTCACAGCAACACGCAAACCTCCAATGACAGATGGGTGGTGGCTGCACATGAGGTTCATTAGCTGGCAATCAAACCCAGGTCTACCACATGGAAACCAAGAGTTCTACCACTGAACCGTCAATTCCACCCTCCCCACCCCAACATAAGTAATAAAAACAAAGAATTTTTGACAAGATATTACGTAAATGTCAAAAATTGGGAGGTAGTACAAAGTCTATGACATATACACATATATCCTAATGATAAATAGCTAATGCCTATTGAACATTTACCAAATGTTCCAAGCACTGCACATTCATTATTTTTTCAAAGTAATCATCATTTCTCTGAGTGAAGTACTTTTATTATAATCTTTTAAGAAATAAAGAAACTTGTCAAGGTTACAGTTTGTTAAGTGATAGAGCATGGGTTTGAACCGTCTGACACCAGAACCCATGCATAACAATACTATGATACGTGGCTACATCTTTAATTGACTTTTTAAAAAATAAAATTATACAGCACCTTGGCAGCTAGCCACGAAGCCACAAAGCTTAATTTTCAAAGATTCAAAGATATATATGTCTTACATCAAAGCTTCTCAATTTCAACATAAGTCTTACCATAAAAGAAAAGAAGTCATCATCTGCAAATCCAGCATACAAAAGCATTTCAGACTGGAAACGAACAGAGATTCAGATCTACTTTCGGTCTCTTGAAATTTCATTTCTGCAAAAGACAGTCAAAACCACGATCACAATAGAGGGTCCTGGACAGAGCTGGAGAAGGATGTAGAACAAAATTCTAACACACACAAAAAAGACCAGATTTACTGGCCTGACAGAGACTGGAGAAACCCTGAGAGGATGGCCCCCGGACACCCTTTCAGCTCAGTGGTGAAGTCACTCCCAAGGTTCACCATTCAGTTGGGGATTGGACAGCCCCATAAAACAAAATGGGACTAATGAGGCACAACAGTCCAGGGACAAGGACTAGAAGGCAGGAGGGGACAGGAAAGCTGTGATAGGGAACCCAAGGTTGAGAAAGGACAGTGTTGACATGTGGTGGGGTTGTTAACAATTGTCATAGGGCAATATGTGTACTAACTGTTTAATGAGAAACTATTTTGTTTTGTAAACCTTCATCTAAAGTACAAAACAAAAAAGAATTATCTATGTGAGATCAAACTGACAACAGCAACTCAAAAGGTTTGATGGGAAGCCTAGGGGACAGTGAGTTGAAGATAACGGTGATGGAGTAATTTGGAAAAGGACAGTGAGAATAGTAGCACAACTGGAAGAACGTACTCGATGTCACTGAATTGTACATGTAGAAATTTTTGAAATGGTGTATCTTCGGCTATGTATACTTTCACCAAAAAAAAAACGTCGAGAAGGGAGAGTGTTGACATGTCATGTGGTTGTTAATCAATGTCATAAAACAATATGTGTACTGTTTAATGAGAAACTATTTGCTCTGTAAACCTTCACCTAAAGTACAATTAAAAAAAAAAAACTTCATTGTGAATAATAATAAAAAAAAAAAAGACAGTCAAAAGCTAAAAACATTATAACAAGTGCTGATGTTACCTTGCATTATTTTTATTATCTGTGGGGGCACCATTTTGATTTCTTATTGCCAAATTCTCTAGGTCACCCTCACATATACCCACATTTCTTGCTAAAAATGCAGGCACAGGTTAAGAAAACACGGCTGTCCTGTCCAGGTTCCTTAAAATCTATATATATTTTTTAATTATACATGTAAACCCAATTTCAGAGACAAAAACTTACAGTATTTGAGTACATGCTTTCAGATGATTTCTCAAGCAAACTCATGTATATAAAAATGTTTAAGCAGAAAAATGACTATACAAATTGTTCTATAACCTGTTTTAATGTATCATGAATATCCTTCCTTCCATTTCAAGAAACATAAACGTATGTTCTTTTAAATGCCTGTATAGTGCTGCATTATATGGCCTTAACAAAATTGATTTAACCAACTCTGGGATTCTCTGAATCCTATATATAGACTGACAAAATAGTGATAAGTTAAAAACTGCCAAGCTAGAACTATATCAGTCACCGGTGCATTTTCTGTTGTGTCTGAATTTTTGAATTAAGGATTCCTGACCCTAGTTCTATTTACCTCAGAGATATTACAAGGCAAAGATAAAACAGAACAAGGTGTTGGTTGTGGTATCAAATTAATAATCACAAAGATTTAGGAATTACCTGGGATCACTGGCTAGAACCCAGGAAGAATTCCAAGGAGCAGAATTCAATTCCAGGTGTTTGCCCTAGCTTTAGTCTGCTCAGAGCATGTGTTTAATCAGGGTGATCAGCTGAAACACGGACTTAACATGCATTTCATCATGGCAAACTGTAAATGATTGGTGAAGGGCAAACCACCACCAGCTCCTAATACCTACAACACCAGGAAAGCCCTCTTAAGGTTGGGATTAAGGCTTTTCAACTACCAAATTTCAGCCACTAATAACACTGAGCCCCAACTCTTGCTAAAACTAAAAACCTGTTGTCATCAAGTCACTGCCAACTCATAGTGACCCTATGGACAGACTTGAGCTGCCGACCTTCTGGTTAACAGCCAGTCTCGTAACCACTACGCCACCAGGGCTCCGTCTCTTGCTAGGTGATTTGAAATCCATATGAAGTCAAAATTAAGGGGTTTTTTTGTTTTTTTTTATACTTACCTCTGGTATCAGATGAATCCAGCTTCTATCTAGGCATCATGTTGAACTACATGACCTATCAACTACCTAACATTATCTCTGGAAAATAAAAAATAAACAAAAATAAATAAACAAACACATAAAGGTTATGACTGTGTGACCTGAATACACACCAGCATGCTCCACACCCAAGTCATACCCATATAGCCTCAAGGAAAATTAGAGTAACTGCTCATTTTTATTTGACTCTCCATTCAGTAAAATAAACTATAGATCCATGGAGAATGTCGTCAAATGCCCAAGTTCATTATCAAATTACAGCAGGACCTCTGCACTGACTCAGCTTGGCATAAATGGAAAAGTTTCGATAAAATTGCACGGTAAATCTAACCAACTTCTGAAAGGTTACAAACCATGGGAGAATAGGTATGCAAAGGAACCAAGAACTATAAGATTCAGATAAACGAGCAGATAATCCAAAATAGTCAGCTTTTTTCATAGCTGTTTCAGTGTTATTGAGCCAATGCCAACTGTATTTAATCTTTACTCTTGGGTGTCCTTTTTCACAGTAAACTAAGGAAAACCTTCACTTAAGATAAAATTCAGACAGCATGATCTGGAATCTAAGTCGGCCACAAGATGGCAATATAAGAAAGCTTTAATCTTCTCTTCCTGGGTTTGAGTATAAATTGAACTTTTAGGTGAAACACTGGACATGCCACTAATCACTGCAGGCAACCTCAGAGTATTTCCTGAAAAGGAATTCTTTACCTAATCGCTAACTAGAAATTTTTTATTACAGTTAATAAAAAATCTAAAATTCTTCATTTAAAAATAGAATTTGCAAAAGAAATATTACAATTATACCTTCATAATGTTCCTTTTCATGTTGCAATGTGGAGATTTAAAAATCCCTAACCTTTAGATACAGCCTAACCAGAAAGGCTCATGAAAATTAATGTCCATGGTAAGCAGCAACATGGCAAATTGTAGTGACAGCAAGTAAGGTTAAGAATCACTGGTCAAGAAAAAAGGTGGACCTTGAGCTGGGGCTTAAAGTTCAGTAGGTAGCCACTCACCATATGCAGCCATTTAAATTAATTACAATTCAAAATTCAATTCCTCAGTTACTTTAGTCACACTTTAATTATTCAGTGGCCACACATGCCTAATGACTACCATACTGGACAGCACAAATGTAGAACATTCCCATTACTGCAAAGTCCTACTGGACAGCATTACCTTAAAGGATGGGTATCACTGAAACAAACTGACAGAAAGGAAGCTGCGGCCATCCCTCTTAAAAACTCTTACTATCTGTTAAGCACTGTAGAAACTGCTTTATTCAAACTTCACAACAACCCCATATTTATATTATACTCTGATATGCATTTAAAAAGTAAAGAAAAGTGAGGCTCAGAGAAATTTCCTAAGGTCACTTAGTTAGTAAGGGATAGAACTAAGATTTAAATCCTGTTCCGTCAAAATTCCATACTCTTTTCACTTCCTCATGCTACTTCCTACGTGAAGTAAGCAGCACGGCCATAGAACATGGCTTGCATTTAGATGTAATGAGAATGATATGCTAGTTCAGTAGGTCAGAAAGCAACTGGGGTGTTTTAAGCATGAGAAATATAACCAAAGTGTTGTTTTACTATGTCCTTGTCCTGTACTTGAATAATGCTTTAGTTATGTACAATGTTTTCAGGTCAGCAACATGCCAAATTAACTAAGGGAGCATACATATGGAAGCAAGATATTAAGACAGAGGTTTTTATAGTTTTAACAATGTCTACTTCAAAACTGCAGGATCCAACTACTTGCTAGAGGAGAATAAATTAATAGGTTGAAAGGCACAACTTCTCTATTTGTCTCATCTCACATACAGAAAACCCCGATTGCATTGGTCCTAGTCTTTGTGTCCGTGGCACATAACACAAAGCCTAACACATAAATCCTGATGTTAAATATATGTACAGGATTCTAGTCGTGCTTCTACAAATGTCATTCTATCACATGAAGGCCATTCCACATTTCCTGAGTATTTGGGGAGCTGAAGTATTATTTTGTAAATCCTCTATAAACATACCCACTCAGGTTATTGACTGTGGGTATTAAGTGCTTCAAATAACAGTGCTCATGGCCAAAAATACATTTTATACATGTGACTGAATGCTTCATGAAGGCCTGATACAGACTACAGATTTATAATACTGAATCAGCTGACGCTTTCCATTTTAACATTGTGTTACCATTCAATTTTACTCAGTTTCATCTCAATTTACTTAGTCTTTGTGACACAGGCAAGTGTCTTTTCTATCTAAAAACAACTTCTAATCTTTTTAGATAGAAAAGACAAATACCTGTGACACAAAGAACCATTTAAGGCATCATATCTTAGAGTTCAAGTACTTGCCTTAGTAGTCCCATCAGCCTTTAATCCTTTCTAATGAGAATGTCTAACTCCACCTGACTTCTAACAGGGTCTACAGCAGATGTTATAGAGGTTTTCACAGTGCCACTTCTGTTCTGGGAGGCTGCTGAAGAACCAGGCCTTCTCTCCTCAGTGGATTTCATCTTCAACCTGAAGCAAAAGGAAAACAACATAAAACTGGTCTTTTGGCTTGGGTCTCCTTCAGAGAGCTCTATAAGGCACGACTATCAGAAAAAAAATCCAAGTTTTGTTACCCACTCACTGTCAGCTATTTTAGTTAAGAATTCTGATCATTTTAATCTTTAAAGTGCAAGAAGAATCCATTCAGAACACACATGACATAGAAGTGGTCAGGTCAGAAACACACAACGGTTACAGGCAGATCATCCAAACAACCTACCACCTCACGCAGTTCCAGTCCTATTGCTGGATGAAAATACAGTTGCCGAGGGGTTTGGTCAAGACAGCAAGAAGAAATAACTTCAAATCAGGATCTAAGAAGCAGTAAAAATCTCCCCTACCGTATTAGCTTGCTATCTTATCCATTTCATAATACCCTGCCAATTTTAGAATGTACAAAGCACTTTCCATACATTGCCTCATCCTACAAGTACTGTGTCATCTTCACTTCATAGATGGGCAAACAAGACTAAATGTCAGGCAACTTAGCTTAGTGGTTAAGATAATGGATTTGAAACCAGACAGAATGGACTTGAATCCCAGCTCCTCTAAGTGACCCCAGTTACCCTTCTGTAAAACGAGGACAAATACCACCTACCTCTTGGGATGCTTTGAGGATAAAATGAGGTAATAAATGTAAAATACTTTGCGCAGTAGCTGGCATGTACTTAAATGTTTAATATGTTGTTTCTATCTTTAAATGTCTAAGCTCAATCAGCTAGTGAGTAGGTAAGGAGATATTCTGCCTACAAATTTCACACTTTTCACAATAACCTTGAAGCCAGGAAAGTCACTCATATTCTTAACAGCCTTTCCAACTCCAAGATACTGTGTCTTTTAAGAAAAAGAGAAACGCTTGCTTCCCACTTTCCCTCATTCGCTACTTAACAATGAAGAAAGACTCCAATGTATGTATTCTACATAAAGTTACTTAACAAAAGCATACTCCCATTGGGAATAATATTTCTCTCCCAAACAGCAAAGCCTCCTAACTGGCCGTTTCACAAGACATGAACTTAGCCTTTTTAACACTTTCCAAAGAAACAGATTTGGAGGAATTCCTAGAAGCTTCCTACTTCTATTTTGCTTGTTTATATCCTATATAACATTTCAGTTTTCCCTACATTAATGCCAAAATGAGTTTACTCACTCAACATCATAATTTTAGGGAGCTACTAAGCACACATTTTGCCCCTTCTGCCTTTGGGTTCACTGCTGTCATTCCTTCCCATCACTCGTGTGATTTAGGATATAAAATTGGAGTCATTATTCCCTGTCAATGAGTATAAGGAATGTGACCCAGCCGGAGCTGGACTCACAAGGATACATCAGCTGGGCCCTGAGGTATAAAAACAATAGCTAGGACAATCTTTGAAAACGTCTTTTAGGTAACCTTTCACATAAACAAATACCTAGAATACAACCAAGACCCATCTATTTTTTCCACTTTATCTTTTTCTATTAGCATTTAGGAAATAGTAAGATTTGTTGGGCCAATGAAGACCCTCCTGACTGTCATTACTAAAATTTGTATCAATGATTATTAAGACAGACAATTCAAAATGTAGTGTTATGGTGATTTAGCAGTTTTTAGCCAATCTGTGAAAGGGTGAAGCTATTAATGATGTTACCAATGTGTAATGTTAATATATACTGATGATTCTGTAACATTCCTTGGACTTGGACAGACATGGCTCTGGCAGCATGCTTGTTCGTTTTCCCACTTTTGCCTATTCTGTAATACTCCTTGGACTCAGGCAGACTTTGCTCTAGCAACATGCTTGTCCATTTCCCACGTCTGCCTCTTTGAACATATGCCAAATAAAATCTTTCTTTTTGCTTTACTCTAACTTTGTGGTGATTTTACCCTAGGACACACGTGTGCTCACCACGAGATTAAAACTAACCTCTACTTAAAATGAGGTGGGCAAAGACACATTCACATAAAAGGCATCAGCATGGTTTTGCCTTTGGTAGAAAACCCTGTATTGCCCAATCAAGATGTTTAGGGTATTGTTTGGTTTGGTTTCTAATCATCATTAGGTACACAAAATATATATAAATAACAGGAAATGCTG